GTATGCATACTGCAGAGGATCCAGAGTGTGTGGAATATTGCCCTTGATGTAGGCCAGCACTACTCTGTCAAAACACTTTGCAATGATTGGAGTGAGTGCAACTGATCTGTGATCTCTGGGCTTTTCTTGGGGAGAGGGATGATGGTTGTGGTCTTGAAGCATGTGGGAACGATGCTCTGGCTGAGGGAAAGGTTGAAGATGGATGTGAGAACATCAGCCAGCTCGTTAGAACATGCTCTAATGGCCCGTCCAGGGATGTTGTCTGGTCCTGCTGCCTTGCGGGGGGTTGATCAACCTCAGGACCTTGTGTACTTGGTCTATGAGCCCACTGGCGGGGGAGAGGGTCCGGTGATCTGGGGGTTCTGAAAGGTATTGGAGGTTGGGAAGGTCTGGGAGGTCTGGAGGGTCTGGAAGGTCAGCCGATGGTGTTGGTGGTAGCCCTATACTACGTGATGTGCTGCATGCCTTGCCACATCCGCCTGGGGTCAGCAGAAGAATAGAAGCCCACCAGCTTCCCTCTGTACTGCCTCTTAGCTGCTGTAATAGCTTTCCTCAGTCCATACTTCACAGCTTTGTACTCCATCTCATTGCTTGATCTGAATGCAAGAGAGTGAGTACGCAGCACGTGTCGTCCCATTCCAGGATTTTATCTGAAAGCCAGGTCTCGGTGAAAATAAGAGCGCTGCATTCTCTTATTTCCGTCATATTTCGTCGAGTTTGTTTTGGATTACTTACTCAAATGTAACTGAAGAAGACTGTAATTGGAGGGGGGGGGGGTTGTTTCTTTTTTTGTTGTTGTTGTTGTTTGCAATATGCTGATGGATGTTAGGATTTCCAATCGTGTCTTGTAAGGAACAGTTATGGTTTAGGTGTGAAACTCGTGTAGTAACCTGTTATACAGGTTATTGTTTGGTATGTTGGGAAAAGAGAGAATATTTTAGTGCATAAAATAGCTGATTGCACACAGTATACCCGACCTGGTGAGGAAAAGCTGCAGTGTGGACTCCAGCTTGTTGGTCTGGTGACCCAAACAGGCTCTTCTTCATATTTTTTCTCAGTTTATAAAATGCTTTTCAAACTCAAACATTATGACTAACACCTGGATTTTCCCGTTTGAGTGCAGCTAGCCAAAAAGCGAAGAGCCAATTACTGCTAAATTGACAGAGTGAAAGTGGGCGGTATTCATATTCATACATTAACCCAAACCAACTCCACTTAACTATTATTGTTGCTAATGAATGCAAGAAGTGAGTGCAAAATAAACTGCCCATTCCCGAACAGAACATGATCTAGTGTCTCTTTATTGTGAAACTTGCACCTCCAACCCAAATCCTAAAGCAATTTGTTCACTTTCTTTGCTTTAATTTTTGTGAAAGTATTAGTGAGAACAGGTTGCCCTGATGCCCTCAGATAACACACACTGGACCTTAAGCCCTATATTCACACAATTTAACTTTCATACACAAACACATAAAAAGTGGCAGCCAGCTTTTAGAAAACAATATATTTACTGGAAATTTTAGGCCTCCCATTCTCTTTGCTGCATCAATATAACAGTCATCTTCTC